GTGGTGCCTGTGGTCATCGGGGCCCTCGGGGCAGTCACCCCTAAACTGGAGCAGTGGCTAAAACAGATCCCAGGAACAACATCAGACATCTCAGTCCAGAAATGTGCAGCATAGGGAGCTAAGTCTAAGTTGGCTAAGTTTGCTGAACTTAGTATAAATAAATTACAATACAAAAAAACATGTTTTTAGGTTGAACAAGATAACTTTAGCTAATAACAGCTGACCATTAGATAAAATTGCAGCAAATAGCTGAATGTAGCATCTGTAAGAAACATAAATAGCACAAAATAGCACAAAAAAGCACAAGAAAGTGCAGGAAAATGCTAAAATTAGCAAAAAAAGTAGCTAAAATTAGCACAGGAAGTGAAAAAGAGCAGAACCAGAACAAAATGTGTAAGGTTCTGTAAAGATTTTGAAACATTTTAAAGGATTTTAAGGCTGTTTAAAACATCTCCATTCAATTTCAACGGCAAAAAAAGTGGCTAAAAACATGAAATAGCTGAAAAAGTAAAAATTGCTGAAATGCCAAAAGTCATAGCAGGATTGTTGTAAATGAGCTGAACGTTTTAATATTTGAATTGTTGAAATAGCACAAAAATTGTTAGGTGTCGAAAAACGTACAGAAGATCTCAATAGTGTGAATGCTATGAAGCAATGACAATAAAGGCTATGAAGCATTCACACAAATAATGAATTTAACTGATAAAAAACTACTTAAAAACTGCTCCCAATAAATGAAAAAGTAAAAGTACTTTTACACACACTCTAAGAAATGAAGTGTTGAATTTAACCAAACTGCTTCCACTAAACTGAGTTGAGTTGCTTTCACTCAGTTTAGTGAAACCAGTTGACATGGTTGAAAAAAATCAACACTTGATTTTTTAAAGTGCATAAACAACTCCTTTCATGACAAGCTCTGTCATTTTTAAATTAGTAATGCGTAGCTCTTACTTTTATTTCTTTACTTTAAAATGTATTATTTTTTTACGCTTTGAATGTAATCAAATAAAAGTTGTGATTTAAAAAAATACATCCGTTATCTATACCTGCTTCTTCCTTTCTCGGTCACAGGGGTCACTGGTGCCCATATCCAGCAGTCACAGTGCGAGGGGCAGGGTACACTCTGGACAGGTTGCAAGTCCATCACAGGGCCACACATAGACACAAACAAGGCAAACATCCATTCACTCATGCACACCTAGGAACAATTTAGAGTATTCAACTAACACAACAGTCATAATTTTGGTCTGTGGGAGGAAGCCGGAGTACCTGAAGAGAACATGCAAACTCCTTCCAGAAAAGTCCCCGGGCCAGGGTTTGATCCAACAACCTTCTTGCTGAGAGGCATCAGCTCTACCAACTCAGCCACCGTGCCGTGCCGCCCAGGTATTTAAAAATATCTGATAAAATTACATATCCTCAATAAATTTACTTAAGTACTGTAACAATAGTAAATGTACTTGGTTACTTCACACCTCTCCTTATCAGAGTCACTGTGACTGATACATGGAAACTTTGGCAGAAGCTTTGTCGACATTTTTGTTTCTACTTCCTGTTTGCACTAAGACTGATTGTTTGATTACATCTGGTGACCTAAAAGCTTCAGTGGTTTATCAGGTTCTCAGTCTAATAGACTTACTTGTTTTAGCTACAGTAATTGGATTGCTCCGTATTTCGCAGTTGCAACTACAGTTGTCAGCTCACAGTCAAATGCTTTTACCAATAAGCCAATAAGATGCAGATTAAATCTGTTTCTATTTTACTGATCATTAGGAATTATTCTTCATTTAAGCTGGGAGTCCAAGGAGATCTTTGCAGTACAGGTGTAAGAGTGAGCTTAAGGTGAATTAAGGTTTTCCCACATCTCTCATACACAAGGTTATGAGGAAACTTTTACCAAGGTATTTCTCATTACTTGTTAATATCTTGACTGTGCGAAGTGAAAAGTGACACAATAAGTGAACGCTCAGACAAGTTCAAGTTGATTCATGAAAGACTATGCAATCATTTATTTACACAAATTGAACAGATCATAAGCTATACTTGATTGTGGTCATTCCTATAACAAACGTCAGAGTTAAATGAGATAAAACCCGCATCCGAATTTCAATTCACATCAACTCAGATTACATATATAGAACAGTAAAACGCCAGTTCTGATGTTAACAACCAAACAAGTTTACTGGCACTTTTAGCTTAAGTTTTGGCAAATTAAGATCAAGGAAAGGAGGAAAGTAAGGTTAGTAGGTTACTGCTTTTACTTTATCAAAGTGTGGGTCAACCGGAACTGCAAAGCATTTGTGATGATTAATTAACATTTCTGTTTTATCATCAGTTTTGAACCTTCTGTTAGTCCAGATAAATGAAAGATTTTCTCAGGAAAAATCCACAATTATATTACTGTGTTCACAGTAAAATAAAAACAGTGATTTACATAAAAACACATTGAAAACATTGTAATCAGATTCTCTGTGAATTTTTTATACCATTATAAATCTTTAAGGCACGATAAAAGAAAAGAAGTGGTTCCACTTTTCCTGTGACAGTCATTATTATGATTTAACAAATGCATAAACATTCTTTAGTTAAACAACAAATGAATAACGAACAGAAGAGATTGTTCTGTCCATTATCTGATTAAGAGAACTGAGAAGTTCTCTTCCACGGTTAGAATGACTTGTCATGGCCTAAATAGAGTTCAGTTTGTGACAGAGTTCCTCTCGTCAGGCCTGTCCAAGGCCTGCTTCGAGGCAGTAAATCTTGTTTCTTCACTCGAGGTGACCCCTACACTGTTGACATGCCTGTCTTGCTGTGAGGCATCAGTGGCTGCCATCACCTGTTTGCCAAAAAAGATATGAGATTTGAACTTTTTTTTTCAAATGGATGAGACATTTGTGCTTGATCAATAAAAGTAACATTCACTGACTGCCACAATGTTTTCTCTTCATTTCTTTGAGTGTTCCTGAAAGCCAWCAAGTTGCACTTTGGAATGACCTTATTATTGTATCATGTTTTTGGTCTGAGTTTGTTTTACAGAATGACAAGTCTGAATGAGTGCTCATCCAAGACTGGGGATTCCGTACTTTTTGCCAGGGGCTTGTAGTTGCTGAACCCTGCTGCTGCCTTTAGAGGTAAAGAATCAAAAACATTTGGATTTTATGGTAAACGCAGCTTATCCATGCTGATTTATGAAAAAAAGATTAAAAACAGTTTTGACCGTGAAAATAAGTGAAGAAAATAAAGAAGGCAAGCAAGAAATTGCCAAAAAATGGAAAAATGCTAAGAAGATTATAGCTAAATTTGTCTGTTTTATTACATGTTTTAATTGAATATTTCTCGTAATTTTTTTTCAGAATGGATTTTCATTCAAACATTTGCACCTTTTCTGTCCATCATTATGTGGAGAAACTTCAAGCACCAACATCCTTGTCATGATGTAGCAAAAGCTTACTGTAAGAAGTGGCTGATTTGTCACATCAGCACCATCAGAGGTGAAGAACATCCATCGTAACGAGATCTAATGTTGATTAGGACTGTCAGGGTCAGAGAGGCTGATGTTTGATCAAATTGCCTTTAACAGATTATCTTCATTGTATGTGTTTCATTTGTCAAAAATTGCACACTACATACAGCTGCAGTCATCTTCTTTTCTGTGTTTGCACCAGTAGATGAACAACAGTAACAATGGCAGATAGCACATTGATGTTTGTGCTGCTTACCTTTTTCAGCATATACATACATAAACATTCATCCATCCATCTGTTATCTTTTACCCACTTCTTCCTTTCAGGGTCACAGGGGTCACTTGTGCCCACATCCAGCAGTCACTGTGTGAAGTGCAGGGTACACACGTGGTAAGTCCATCACAAGGCATTCACAATCAACATTTTAAAAATGCAAGCATTTCCGGAGATTGCTCATGAGTAAACAAGGCCTCAGATGAAAGAAAACTTAATTTGCCACATACTTTATTTTAGCTTGGTAGTTGTTCTTTAAACTGATGCCATACTGTGTTATGTGTTCTAGCTTGTTTAAATTTAGTCCTGCTTTCATTAAATTCACTTCTTTTTATCCTATCTCCATTTTCTGGTTAATAGGACTGTTTTTGTTTGATAAACTCTTCCTTTGTTCACCCCCCAGTTTTTTATACTCCAGCCTTTGTCTCACCAGGTCTTTGATTGCTCATTACCTCTCACCAGTGGTTCATTTGTTGGTCAGCAGGAGGTGTGGTACTCGTGTCCAAGACATTTAATGTGTTCTGCCCAAGGGGCCAGACTGCAGCCAGGTTTCTAGAAAGAAATATATTTCTCTCTCTCAGTCTGAATTCAGCCCGTTTTCCTTCAGTTGTGGTTAGATTTTTTTCTGGTTTAGTTTTAGTTCTATTCAGTCTAATTTAACAGTTTCACCCTCCATCCACACTTTAAATGTAAAACAGTCTGTGTCACTGTGTGTTAGTGCATTCTTCTCCTAACAGCTGGCCAATATTTAATCCAAGAAAATGAAGCTGGGGATTTTTTTATAACATATGATTTTGATGTGGAAAGCCCAACAGAAAGTTAACTTTATTGTCTTTTTCTGTATTGTCTTCTTATTTTAAAGTTAAATAATTTAATGTTTACTGAGGTTCTTGTATCACTGATTTGCTGGATTGTGATCAAATTTATCTCTAAGAAATCATAAATATAAATGGTGCTGATAGAGAGTAAGACTCAAGAAATGAATGTGAATGATTTGTCTTTCTCACTGTAATCTTCTTTTCTTTATTGGCTAGGGCATAGGAATAGTTTGTTGATGTTTTTTTTTTCAGTGAACCATGACAGAGATTGACACTTGACTTGGACCAAGTTTTTAAATTTTGGCTTCTTGTGTATCTGAGTATGACAGCCCAGACTTAGAGAAAATAAACTGTATCCATGGTGTTTTAGATTTGATAATCTAATAATAAAATAATGAGTTTATCGGCAGGAAAAATGTCTCAACTTTTAAGTGTTCTCATCTCAGTAAGATCTACCTTAGCTGCAGGCTGTAACTGTGTGTGAACTAATCATCATAAACAACTTCAGATTGCTAAAATAGATCTGAAACCTGTTCGGTCATATGTGTTGATATAATTTTCAGCCACTTCACTTGAACCCTAAACATCTTCTAGGCTGGATGTTAAACACCGGAGGGGCATATTTATCTTAAGGTCATTGACCTGCGATGCTTCCTTAAAGTCAATTATCAGTCAGACTTGAGCTTTTCCCTTCCTCACAATCCACCCGTAATCTAATTTTACTAATTGAGGACAACTCTGAGTAGGTATAAAACACCCGCGTCACCATAAACTGTCCGTGCAGTGTTGGCTTTCACTGCTTGGAAACTGCTGGTGTTTGTTTTAGTTTTTTTCTTCAACTAGAACTCCAGCAAAAGAAGACAGCTGAAGATGGGTTGGGATGCTGGATACGAGGCCAATGGCACTGAGGGCAAAAACTTCTACATCCCCATGTCCAACAAAACTGGAATTGTCAGAAGTCCTTTTGAATACCCTCAGTACTACATGGTGGACTCCATGGTCTACAAGGTTCTAGCTTGCTACATGTTATTCCTGATCTGCACCGGGACTCCCATCAACGGCCTGACATTGTTCGTAATGGCTAAGAACAAGAAGCTCCAGCAGCCTCTCAACTTCATCCTGGTGAACCTGGCTGTAGCCGGCCTCATCATGTGCCTCTTTGGCTTCACCATCACCCTTACATCTGCTGTTAACGGCTATTTCATTCTTGGACCCATTATGTGTGGTATTGAAGGATTCATGGCCACACTTGGAGGTAAGACAGAAAAACCAAGATGATATAGTCTAGAAAGCATTGCAGTGTTGCTATTCTAATTTTAATACGAGTACATTTTACTGTTTAAGAGCTTTTTCCTTTCTTTTCCCTGCAGGACAAGTTGCCCTCTGGTCCCTGGTTGTTCTGGCTATCGAGAGGTATATTGTTGTGTGCAAACCCATGGGGAGCTTCAAATTCTCTGGAACTCATGCTGGCGCCGGAGTCCTTTTCACTTGGATCATGGCTCTTGCTTGTGCTGCACCCCCACTTTTTGGGTGGTCCAGGTAAAACCAACATATATTTTTTATTACTATTATCAATTATTGCCTAATGTGATTTCAAACCAATTGGTCAAGTTGGGGTTGGAAACATCACGTAGCGACCATTAGAAAATCTGCAGGAAATGAAAGTAAATATAAAAGGATTGGTAATGGCATTTRTTTTTCTATATTTATTACAAGCAAATAAATAAATAAATAAAATAATCATAACTGAATAAAAATAGATAAATTTGTATGAAGTCTGTTAGGGTTGTCATGGTTGTTAGCAAAGTTTATTTAGTCAAACCAAAAAAAAAAAAAAAAAAATTGGTGTCACAAGCCTCGGCCACAGTTATTTTATGGGTTTGAAGCCAAAAAGTACAAGAACCGCTGGTCTAGTTACTCAAAAAGTACACATATTATAAAGATTAAAAGGGTAAATCTTGATTTCCTGGACTAAATATTTTATTGTGCATTTCAAACCTTGTTTAGGTACATTCCTGAGGGCATGCAGTGCTCCTGTGGACCAGACTACTACACTCTAGCTCCAGGCTTCAACAACGAGTCATACGTCATGTACATGTTTTTCATTCACTTCTTCATTCCCGTCTTCCTCATTTTCTTCACTTATGGGAGCCTTGTATTGACAGTAAAAGCTGTAAGTAGAATTGAACTCTCAACCCAAGTTTCTTCTTCATTTAGCTTTTGTAGTTTAACACCCTATCTAACTAAACTCCACAGGCAGCGGCCCAGCAGCAGGAATCAGCTTCTACCCAGAAAGCTGAGAAGGAAGTGACACGTATGTGTGTTCTGATGGTCTTTGGCTTCTTGGTAGCTTGGACTCCGTATGCRACCTTCGCCGGCTGGATCTTCTTGAATAAAGGAGCTGCTTTCACTGCTCTGACGGCGTCCATCCCTGCTTTCTTTGCAAAGAGCTCAGCGCTGTACAACCCTGTTATCTATGTGTTGTTTAACAAACAGGTTGGCTTCCTATAAAAATGTCCCTGCACCATGTTAAGACTCAAAGTTCATGTGAAGTGTTCTAAATCGCTGTCACTGCTTTGCCTTTCAGTTCCGTAACTGCATGCTGTCCGCTGTTGGAATGGGCGGCGTGGTGGAGGACGAGACCTCTGTTTCAACAAGCAAGACAGAAGTTTCAACTGCTGCTTGAGCATCACGTGTCTTGATCAGGACGACTTCTTCACGTTCATGAGCACATCCYCCATAGATTGCTCTCGTATTTGAAATGAGCCCAGTCAAACATGTTCTTGAACTTTTGCCAAAGGAATTCGTGGACTCGACAACTCTGGACCAAACGTGCAAAGGAATTCGATCTCCTCTGGTTATATGCGTACAGTGGCAAGTGCAAATTTATTTTGAAAGCTCTCTTGTACAGAACTTGTTTGGATGTGCGTTTGTGAGTGAGTGAATGAGAGAAAAAAAGAGGGATTTGGTTGAACTTTAGAATGTTGCAACTTAACACATAAGCTGGATGGTGGGCATGTTGGTGCTGGTTTGCCTGTTGTTTTATTTTTATGTATTTCATGAAAAACAAACAAAAAAATACTGTGTTGACTAGATAATAAATGCATGCATAAAAAACATTGGTGTGTTCAATAACTTGTTTTTTTTCAATCACCCAAGGTTCACAAAATTGAATTACACTCCAGGTGTTTTCTGAGCTGAAAACAACAATCTGTTCAACATAAACCTGCATCTGTCACACTTCTGAACAGCTGATGCTAGTTAGTTATACTGTAAAAGTTTTTTTATACACTGATTACATGATGTAAATGCTGGCTTTTGGATAACAAATCCTGAAAAAAATCAAGTCCTAAAGATAGTTCGGATATATTCAGATGAGGTTCTGTGTTAAGGCTGTGCTTAATTAATAACTTACCTGTTGTGGATTAGCTCTTTGGTATTAGTTTGTAGAAAAACAGATTGAAAACCAAATTGAGCATACACTTAAATGAATTGCAGCCCTCTTAAAACACCTCAGATCTCTAAATTTTCATCAAATCTTTTATATTGATGTGTTTGATGCATTTCTAATTTCCAGCTGAAATATGTAACTCCTAAAGTGCTACAGCTAGTTGCTGCTGCTGCTTAGTGCTTGCAAAAAAACCATAGAATTCTAAATGTGTAATGCAAAACTGTTAAAATGACTGCAGTCCACTTTGGTTTTGGTCCATTTTGACTGTCATTTCTGTCAGATAAGCTTCACTAAAACAGTTATCTGTTGGACATCTTTCAGTTGGCAGAACAAGTAGATACCGCCCCCTGCAGGTTGTCCGAAAATTWAAAAAAAAATACTATCATCGTGCTCCATTTGAAAAGAAAACGTGTTCTGCAAAGACAACCCACAAGTCTTCCACATCATCATGTCACAGGCTCAAAAGGCTTTAATTACTTTTAAACATACACTTCTTCCTCACCCATTGAGCCGTCTATATCGTAGATAGACCCTTTTATTTCCTGCTGATAACCTGACCCTAATTGTCATGCTGTGGGCCAATGCTCTGTAATTTTCTTCAAAGAGAGTGTTCTGGACACCTGCATGTGCTCAGTCTCTCTGTCAGGGACGCGAGCGTCGCCTCTCTTTGTTCTAATTGCTCAGATCAGATAGGAGGCTGCACGCAGAGAGCATAATAACCAACTCTGTGGTTGCACTGAGTCTATCTCCAGGCAGAGGGCTTGTTGTGAGGCATCTTGGAAGAACATGTTTGGCTAGAGTTGTAGTAAGAGCCACAGTTTGTATTTTGCTTTTAGCCACGTTTAATTTTATGACGTACAACTAAAATATCTTTCAAAGTGAGAATGCTTCTTCATTCAAATTTTCACAAAATGAACAACTGTGTGCAAAGATTTGGACACCCCTTCTCATAATGCCTGATTGTGAGGAGTGCTCAGTGAGTCAGCTATAACCCTGCTGCCAAAAAGTGAAAAATGTCACATTTTGGTAAATTCTTTTACATTTCTTTTGTAAATAAAACACAGTGAAATAAATTAAACATTCTTTCTTTTTTTTTTTTTTAAAGTTTTAACATATTTATACATTTTTCTGTCAGAAAAAACAGCATTTTTCTGTTTTGCATTTACTGGACCTTTTAAATTTCTGTTCTGCTTCAGGCAGTGTAAGAGCTGCGTAGTGGTGCTGTGGTTAGCCCTGTTATCTCACAGCAGGGAGGTCACAGGTTTGACGCCTCGCTGAGACCTTTTTTATGTGCAATTTGCATGTTCTCTCTCTACAAACACTGGTTTCCTCCCACAGAGCAAAAACAAGCATGTTAGGTTAACTGGAACTGTAAAATATCCTCGGGTGAGTGAGAGTGTGAAACGTTGGTTCATTTTGAGATTTGACGGTCTGTCTCGTTTTAGAAGAGAATTTGCTCTTTTTTCCCTTAAACCATGGCTTTGCACGTTGCAGCTAAAGCAAGTTCCCTGTTGTTTATTATTTAACTTTAAAAAGCTGCAGACTGATCAGACACGACTTGAGGAAGCAACATCTTTTTTAAACTATCCAACACTATCTCCTAATTTCAAGCAGTCTTGCACATTTCACGTTAATTGTACAGAAAAACACTTGTAGACTCTGAAAGTGAAATATTGTTAAAAAGAACATTTTACGTCTTGTTTCATTTAAATTTTTAGTTTAAGAAATATTTAATTAGGACCTAACAGCAATTTAAAATTTTACAACATTCTTAATAAACAATATGAATTATTGTTTGCTTTTAAAAAACACAGACAGAAAAGCTTTCAGAAGAGGTTTCTTCATATTTCACAAGCAATGAGCTTTTGGGCACATTGACTCTGATGAGTCAGGCTTTGTCTTTACACCTTTCTACCAATAACTATTATTATTATTATTATTATTATTATTATTATTATTATTATTATTATTATTATTATTATTATTATTATCAAAAGGCATTCTGGGTAAAATGTATCATGTGGCTCTTGATGTTGAATTTATTGACTTTGGTAGAGAAGTACATAATCTACTCTCTCAACTGTGAAATTACCTAAAATGTTAACAATTGTTTCATGTTGTTGACATGTTTTTTTTTTCTGTGTTGGTTTACTTGTTGAATAACTGAAACAGAAGCAGCCACTGTTTATTAAGCATTTATTAAACATAATTACCTCATCATGAATTGTTAATTTTTTTTATCAACTCTTAGTTTAATTTATAAAATTTGATGATCTGATGACTTAACACTCCAAACTAATTCTTTGCATTTGTTGCATTTCAAAGAGCAGGTTGTGTGATAGTCACAGTGGTTAAAGGTTTTGGGCGTTAGTCAGTGTTATTTTAACAGTCTTAACCTGAAAGAAATAAATACAGTGAGGGATTATCCCTTCAGCCTTACTGTTCAGATAATCCCAACAGTGTGCTTCAACATACTGTGGCTTTGAGATACTTTTCAAAATACTTTTACATTATTTACGCTGTTCAAATCTGCAACCGCACAACTACTGAGGTAAAAACCTGCATGACACACTGTTTTGGATCTCAGTCAATGAAAATCAAATCATAATGCAACAAATATGCAAAATTCAAGCAAAACAAGGTACATGTATTTCTTGAAATTACTGAATAACTGCTATTTCTTTACTAACAAAATGGCACATTGCTTGATGTTAATGTACAGAAGTGGCTCTTTAAATATTTAATATAATGATAAGTTCAACATCCATAATTAAACAGTAATTCATCAAATAACTGAGAAAAACTACAATAAAACAGATTATTTTAACTCAAACATCTTAAACAGGCATTTTGATGGTCTTTACAAATAAAAGTAATAAAAATTTAAAATATTCAAATAAATACACCAGCAGACAATATTAATCAGAACACCATCAATAATAAAGTGTAAAACCAACAGAAATATTAAATATTTATCAAGACAATTTGAACACTTTGATTTAATAAGTTCCTCAAACCATTCAGATTTATGAAATACAATTCTAAAAATATGAATGGAGATGTGGCCTGTTCCTTTCTTTTAAACAAAATATAAATATACATAAACAAAATTCACAAAAACATTGTGGCTTCCTTTTAATTTCCTTTCCTATTATTTTATTTGCTCTTATTGTGTTTAATCTGAGTGAAAGTTAAAGGTGGATTTTTCTTTGTTATTATGTATTTGATGAAGCCATTGTAAAATGTGCTATCAATTTTTTTGATTAAAATTTCACATTGGCGTTTAACAAATTGAAACTTGTCACATCTCATTAATAAAAATCATTGGCCCTTGGGATGTGACGCTGTTATCTCTTTCATAAACAACACTTTTGCCGAGATACGTCTGAGGTAAGCTGAAGCTCACTTGGGATTGGTTAATGCTGGCTTGTCTCTCGACCTGCTTATTAAAGTCCCCCTTCGACAGAGTCACGCTGTCTTGTCTGTAGAGACCAAAACTGTCATCTGGCTGGTCGAAGCTGCTTTCGCTGTAGAGTCGCTCTCTCATTTCACTCGAACGTTTCCCAGAAGCGCTCCTGGTTGGGTACCTCTGACCGGTCTTGTACCAGCCAGTCTCTTTGAAGACGAACCAGATGTTCCCAGACCAAAGGGCAACGTTCACAAACCCAAAAACCTGCCGGAACAAAAGAGGGGACATGTGGGCAGTGTTGTATAAAGTACCATAAAGTGATACTTGAGTAAAAGTACAAGTATCTTACCAAAAATGTACTTTGGTAAAAGTTAAAGTCTCCTTTAGGAATGTTACTTGAGTAAAAGTCTTAAAGTATCTAATATTTTGTGTATTTAAGTATTAAAAGTAAAAGTATTGATTCAAAATGAGCAGTTAGATTTTGCATAATGACATTTATTAGGAGGTGACCTCCCCAAAAAATGCATTATTATATCGTATTAAAATAATTAATTTATGTTAAATTTAGGATGTATTAGTCTAGCTGTTTCAGTTTATATACATATATCAAGGCTGCACAAACCTTTTCCCTAAAATAAAAATCTATCCGAGGGCTGCGGCCAAATGTAATAATATAATTCATGAAATACAAATACTTCTTAAGTACAGTCCTTTTATTTTAATGATTATGTCCTGCTGGAGTGTGACATGATTTGTTTGTGTACAAATTATATATTTATACTTCTCATTCAACCACAATTAAATTCACTTTATCTAGGAGGCACAATTTATATGGATAGTATTTAATTTTTACAATAATAAGCTGGAATGAAAACAAGTAAAATGAAATAAAATGAACGACTTTCTACTTTTTGCCTTTTTTAAAAATGTAAGAAGTAGAAAGTACAGATAACTGTGTGAAAATGTAAAAACTAGAAGTAAAAAGTAGGCTGAAAAATATTTACTCAAGTAAAGTACAGATACCCAAAGAATTCTACAGTAGCAAAGTATTTGTACTTAGTTACTTTACAACTCTGCATGTGGGAGTGGATTGCTTTATCTCCAGTAGACTGTGATATTTGTTGACTGAATACATACAGCAGATGTATTAAGACGAGACCAGAAAGGCTCCTGCGTAGCTGCACAACTGTTTTCCTGAGCTCTACAGGCAGAGATGAGAAGAAGCACCTCGGTTGGGTTTGTTGCTCTTTTGATATCGGAGAGACTTTTTGACCAGCAACAACTGCTGAGCAACCACATGAGGGAAAAGATGACGGTGACGGCAAAATCCTGCTCAGGACAGAAAAAAATGTAAAGAGAAACAAATTTGTTCAGATAAATAAAAGCTCTTTCTTGTCACCAAACAGTACATTATCACAATCATCGTTAAAAACGAAGCCGAACGGACCACCAGTGGGCCTCTGTTGTTCTTTAGGTACTTGTTCTGGTAGAAGACGTAGACTATCGTTGCCAGGAGTGAGTAAAGAAAAGCGAAGACCCCCACAGTCACAAAAAACTGAGCGGCTGAGGAGAAGTCCCCATCGAGGAACAGGACCTCCTCTCTCTCCACGTCGCACAGTGGAGCCTTGAAGTGCACTTGTTGCAATCTGTGACAGAAAGAGAAGTCTGCTCAGCCTGGTGTTTTGTTACATCTGAAACAGAACTCAGGCAGGATCAAAACATCGCTACCACAATTTTAAATGAGAAACAATCGACCTGTTTGGAAGAATTTATATAGAGATTTAAACTTCCACTTCTTGTTAGTTTTGACAATATTTCTTTATTCTAACAAACATAAATACGATTCATCGTGAACGTTTCGATTACTGTTAGCACAGTGCAATAATAAAACTCAAGGTCATCCAAAATAAAGAGAGTGGCAAATGCAAAACTTGGAGTTTTGTTTTGTTTCGAGGCTAGCAAAGTCTAACTTTGAGACAGAAAAATATTTAGATTAAATTGTACTCAAACCGTAAAATGCTCAGGTTTCCACACAATCACTGTTGACATTAAACAAGCATTTCCTGAAATTAGCTTCTGTCGTCTGCGAACTACAGCTCTATTTTTTTGGGGAAAAAATTAAATAAAAAAAGCTAAGAGTTGAGCAGAGTTGTGCCATTTCGAGACTTATGGATATTAAATTGGGTCGACTTCTCGCTCCGCTGCCCAGCAACCTGATTTAAAATTGGAGGAGCTTCAAAAGGGAGCAAATGACAAATAGAGTGGAGCTCTGAATTTTATTAATTATTTATTTAATTTTAACTTCTCTAATCAAAAGTAAAACATATATAT